CAACACAACACTACTTTGAACACAACCACAGCTAATAAACACTACCAACACAACACCACTTTGAACACAACCAGAGCTAATAAACACTAACAACACAACACTACTTTGAACACAACCAGAGCTAATAAACACTACCAACACAACATTACTTTGAACACAACCAGAGCTAAAGAAAAGCACTAAGAACTGCCTGACTGACAGAGTGACGAAAATGCTAGCTATAGTTGTGAATACATTTGGGAAAAAATCGTCGCTTTTTCAATTGTTTTCTAAAACGAGAGGCGGCAAATTCTTCCGATTAAACATGGAAGGAAATTTAACACGAAGAAAACGCGCCGTTGGCGCCCACAAAACTCGAGGGGAGCGGTGAACGCTGTATTTTGGGGTACACCCGGTTGCCTCTGATTGGCACCCCCAATTCACAGTTGGATATGTTCGTACTATGAAACGGGTCAGGCGGGTAGCTGCGTCAGCACACGTAGTCTGCAAAGGAACAAGTGATAGGTTTTTTTCCAGGCTGAGAAAAAGAAGAAAGAAAACACAACGTTTCGGCTGTGAACGTCTTCAGGTGTGTCTTCAGGTGTGAAGAAGGCTTCACAGACGAAACGTTGTGTTTTCCCTCTTTTCTTTTCAGCCTGGAATACACCTATTGCTTGTTCCTATGAAACAAGACGGTGAGTATTGGTCTCGTCGTGTGGAGTGGGGGGTGTATCCCCGTACCCACTCGCACTCGGGGTTGAGGTCGGGATTTTTGTAAAGAGTTTTGAGTTTATCCAGGTCTTTGATCTCGCGAACTATCGGCGCCCTTGTCGTAATTATTCCGAAGAGGAGCTCCACCGCCGCCCGCCCTGCCTGGTACTGTATTAAAACGTCTAGGGTTAAAAAGAAACTTGAAAAACTGTAGATTCTGATTTAAAAATGCATTCTTCCTTTGAAGGTGTGGTAAATCTACAGAACACAAGATTTTTCACTTTTAATAATTATTCAAAATACCCTAAATTAATTAAAATTACTTTTTTATGATGATTCCCTTTTGTGACTTCTTTAAAGATGTTTAAAGAGCAACGTTTAAATGCCATTTCCTATACAGTCGTCAATAATAATGAATAGGTTCTGAGAGGAGTTCCGGAGGACATGATGCTCTCTGGTAGGCATGGTGATCTCAGGGGTCAGCACTGCTGCCTCACAGCGCTCGGGCCCTGGGTTCCATTCCGGCCCCGGGGTGCTGTCTGGGTGGAGTCTGCATGTTCTCGCCACGTTCGTGTGGGTTTCCTCCCACAGTCCAAAGACTTGCTGGTGGGTCAATTAACTTGTGTGAGTGAGTGTGTGTGTCTGTGTGTGTGATGGACTGGGAGGACCCTGCCGTCTTGCGGCTGTTGCTCGCCCCTGGCCGCCCGCAGCCCTGATCCTGATGAGGCCATGTGAGAAGGGACGAATGGGCAGTCTTACACACACGACTACTGCCCTCTGTGTAGGGGCGGACTGGTCGCTTTTAACAAGGTCCCACGGATCTGCTTTTAACAGAGAGACTCGTTAACAAGTCTCTAAAAGTCTGTCTAGCTGCAGAGATGCGTCTTTGTAGACTGCCCCGCGTGTCGCACACTCCACTCTCTGTACGGTCCTGTGTTTGTGTGCTTGAAAGTCTACTTCTGCAGCATAACGTACTCGCTGCTAACATTCAGTAGTGCTGGACTGTTTGGCGCAAACGGTTTGGAAATGCTCGCGCAACGTACCTTGGCTGTAAAGCTCGTTTATGTCGTCTCGTGTTGCCTTCGTAAGACAACAGCTGGTTACAGTTTTTTTGCAGCATGTTCCGCAAACACAAGCGTGTGGATTTCAGAACAGGGCGACAGGGACGTGCCAATGCATCAGGGACCACGTGCAGACCTCCTGCACAGCAAAAATAAAAAAAGGCGCCCCGCACTAACCTGTAAGAACGCGTGCAGAAGGTTCTGAGTCCTGGGCATCGCCAGTACCGCCATCTGACTCCGGGGCCGCTCCTGGGTCCCCACCTGCGGAGCGGGCGGAGCGGGCTAGCCGCGTCGCGAGAGCACAGCCGGGACACTCAGCGGCCGGGCTCGCGGATCATCGAGGTCCCGCGTCCGTCCGCTGCAGGAGCGCGCGGCGGCTCGGGCCAAGCACGGCGGGCGGAAGGTAATCCCGTGGCATTGAACACTTCCCAATCCTGCCCCGTGTGCGCGTTCCTCTCCTGCCGCGTCCTTCTCGTCTCGCTCGCACAAAGTTTTTCGCTCACTATCTCTCCCCCCCCCACCTCACACACACCCTCTCCCACTTTCGGCATCCAATAGTTTCCGGCCGGCGTGTCCCTCTTTTGAAGTGCACGACCCAGCCAATCAGTTGAAACCGCTCAGATCAGTTCAAAGCCCATCAGAGCTCATCCCTCCTCTGCAGAGAGAGACCCCCCGCAGCCCGGGCCGCTCTGCACTGCTCTGGGGGAGACGGGGGGAGTGCCGGGGCTCGCGACAGGTACAGGAGATCACAAACTCCACGTCGTGCAGTCCCGTCCCTCGATTAAGCTCTTTCAACACGAGAAGGACATTGAAGAGCCCTGTCCAGTGAAGCCCTCACGGGACAGCCCGCGTGTCCGATAGGATTGTGTTTTCTCTCCTCTTTTCAGCATGGAAGAAACCTATCTCTTGTTCCTTTTGCAGCTACCCACCGGAACTAGGATTAAATACGGTTTGGTCAAATGAAGCACGAAATCTCTCATAGTGTCCAGTCTTGAAGTATTTTTCTTAAATGCAACTAGACAGCGTGTCTGGTTTTTAATTATTTTTTTCTTTAATAAAAAAAAACAAAATGATCTCCTACAGTCCCATCATAAACTATTACTGTTCTTCTTAATAGTACTTCTAGAAATAAACTATACGGCTACAACTCACAGTAATTATACTAATACCCAGTTTCTTCACTGTATAGGGGGTTTCTAACTTGGAATAACACAGTATATAATGATAGTATAGTCATAATTATTGAATGGATAGGCTAGAATTGTGGTCGAGTTCACTCGGTGAACATCAGTAGGAGTAAAGTCCGAATCTGATGCTATATTATTCTTTAAAATACATAAACACTCTGGGTTAGCGACAGCTGGAGAGTGTGTTATATTTTTATCTGTGTAATAAGAAAATCGATAAGTCATAAAGACAAGCAAGGCACTGCCGGTTCATTACTGTATTATCAAAAGACTTGAATAATGAAGTGAATTATGCAGTGTTTGTAGTCCTGTTTAGACTCATTCTATAAGGTATGTACTCCCTAAAGTAACACAGCTCAATCAACTGTAGACTAGATAATTGCAGCGGAAATTAATTAAGACCGTCAATTAAGATTCTGTATTTCATGAGGACAAGGCTTGTGTGTCTTGTAGCAAGTATACCCACGCGTGGAAAACAAAATCATGGAAAAAAAAAACATTTTTCCGGAGAAATCGCTGCTTTCTCGCCCGGACGAGCGGAAAACGCTGCAGAGACATCAGAGGGGTTACGTGTGCTGCCGCTCTCGAGACGGCTCGCGCGGCTCGACCGGTCAGCAGCCCCAGCTGTCTCGCGACGACAGAAGGGTGTGGCGCTCCCGCACTTTGGGGTTCAAGTTGAAGTCAGTTATTTGTTTCTGGGGGGGTTATGCCTATCATATAAGTGGACAACAATAACAATAAGAATAATGATGATGAGTTAGAGCCCTGCAGGTGAGTTATTCCTGAGGAACAGTGTGTCTGTCTCCCAATGATGCTCCATCTGTCTACAGTATATGTAAATATCTTTGGTGTAAATGTCTGTAATATGTCTGTAGATTTTATTTTGTGTTTTGTTTCATGTGAATTTCATTATTTATATTTGCTTTGGCAACACTGATTGTACCCATCGGTCATGCTAATAAAGCACCTTGAATTGAATGTAATATTCCTCTTCGGCTGCCGGCTGCACGGTCTCTCCGTCCTCCTCCGCCCCACGTGCTCTCCTGCGCTGACGGAGACTTGAGCCGGTGGTCGTCACTCGCCGGCCCCCCACCTCGACCGCCTTCAGATGTCTTTCTGGCGGGCCGCCGGTCTCACAGCGCGGTGTGAACTCCGATATCCATTTTACAGGCCGAGACAAAGGGCCCCCTGCCGGCACCACCAGCTGGACGCGACAAAAGCGCGCAAACCCATGAAAATAAGAAAAGGAAGAGCAGAGGGGGAATGGGGGCAGAACGTGTTCCAGCAAAGAAGTCACCTACTCTAGGAGCTGGGGGGAGGAGGTTTCCGTTATTAAAAGTCCCAGCCCTAAACCCTAGCCCCCAGTTTCCCCGACAGCGTTCTCCTACACTCCATTATTATCATTATTATCATTTATGATTGTTACACTCGGCATGGCTGGGGCAGGCTCTGAGGTGTTTGTGCCCGCTCCTGGTGGTGCACGGTGCTGTGTCCTGTACGCCAGTTCGGCGAGCACGCAGGCGATTGGCTTGGGCGCGAGCCTGCGCTGAGAGAGCAGGGTCGCGCGCCCCGATGCCGGGTCTGCGGCCCGATCCTTCCCGACACCGCGAGCGTGAAGAGCGCGTGGGGGTGGCGGCAGGGGGGGTCAGGGGGGCCTTGTACAGCTGGCTTCGCCATATGTCTCCGCTACAACAAAGACTACTGATTTGCAAGGTAGAAGCGGGGGTTTACGGCGGTGACTGGGGGTCGGGAGGGGGGGTTACCATTGTATCAGTCTGCGCGAGGTGCCTCGCTGCAGGGCCTCAGATTAGCTATTAAAACGCGGTAATGGGTTTCGGTGAAGAAAACAAGATGTTGCGTCGATTGGAAGCTGTGGGCCAGCTGTGCTCCCAGGAGACGCGGTCTGCGCCTGGAGCTGGGCTGGGCTGGCCTGGGACCGCGGGCTTGCGGTGCGCCCAGTGTTGACAATTCAGCCCGACGGCCCTCAGTGGGACCCGCGACGGGGGGTAGACTGTCCACCTACCATCTAGAACCTAGGAGCCTCGAGCTGCTCTTCTAGAACAGCGATCGCGTGCTAGAGCTAGCCGCCCGGAGCAGCTACTGTCCGGTTAATATTCAGGATGCCCGTATTGCACAGGGGCGGTCATTGTCATCTCTCCCTTACAACTAAAAGCTTTCAAAAGTAGTACAACGAACGCTAGAGAAATGAAAAATGCGTTTCATTAGTTCCCATCAAAACCATTTCAAACCGTCCAGGGCTGGTTGCTTAGAACCCCCCAAAGCGCCGAACACATTGAAGATTGCATTTGGAGACGCGACCCTGCGGAAGAGTTCGCTGAATGGGGTCACTCTGATGTTTATCGGAGCCCTGAAGAAGTCCACCGAGCTCCTGCGCTCACACACAGGGGAAGTGTTGAGGAAATAGCTTGTAAAAGTAGTTTCCGAGTAATAAACCGCGCATCTGTGTAAGACTCGTGTAACTCGTAAATTAATTGTACAAATGAATAAAAAGATGAGGGGGATGATGTGAATAAGTCATCACCACAGTAACTTACGCAGTGTACGTTCCACGCAAAACAATATATTACCTCTTAAAAGAATGTTTCTCCTACGTGTTATTCAGTCTTTTCTCCGAGTTCGCTTGTTTCTTTAATTTTATTAGAAAACTGAGCACATTCTGTCTTTCAGCTTTCAAGAAATAATTTCAATGTATTTTATGTTACTCTGAATAATTGATCAAAGCGCTTGGACCCCAGATCAGAGCACGCTATTTTCTATATATATACATATTTCAAATAACACATACAAGTCCCAGGAATTTGTGAACATGAAAGAAAATTCGAACTTGGTTTTTAATGCTTCCAAGGTGTAAGTTTTGATACAATTTTTAGCGGTTTGTTCTTTTAAGCAAAAGGACTATTTCCCAGCGAACCGCAGCCTCGGACAAAA